CCATGAGCTTGAAGGGCATTCTTTACTGATCTCTTCCACCAAGAGAAATTAGTTGAGTCTAAGGTGGGCATATTGAAAAAAGCAAGATTCTTAGCTGCAGACATAATGATTTCTCCTTTTTAACATGTTACCAAAACTTGAGAGTGATGAGGGCAATGGGCGATCTTTTGTGAGTGCAGGATTAAGCTTTTCAGTAGAAACGGCCAGGATCGATCTCACCCCCTTTCCTTCTTTCTTTCACTCGGCATGGAAGAAGACGAACTCAGATTAAACAGTACAGGCTTTCTCCAACTTGGAAACACAGGCGTCTAGTCTGGTCCCACAAGTTCATGAAGAAAACAGGATGTTGTCTGAATCTCATAAATCCAATGCGAGTTAAGACAAAAATTCTGTTTTAGAAAACTCCAGCACACATGATTTTTCTTGACTCAAAGTCTGGCTGCTGCACTCTGCTTAGCTATCTTGCGCAGCTGAAGCGATCTGGGCACCCATAACCTTTGTTGGGTGATAGTGAGATATTGAAAAAATGTTATTTAGCAGAGATAAGATAGTCCAGCAGAGCCAGAGTAAGATAATTCAGACTGAGAGTCCATGTGTGATTAAAATATAAAGTTTTTACTAAATTCTAGAATTGGAAGGGTAACTGGGATGAAAATAACAACAGAGCAAAATCTACTACATCCTTACGCTACAAAGACAAAACTAGAAGAGGGAGATTATGGCTACTCGTCTTGTTCCTTCAGAACACTAAAAACAAAGACGGGAAGAGAAGCCATAAAATGGTAATACACCTTGACACTTTAGTCCCAATCAAATTCCTAGATCAGGGAGAAAATTCCCGGGCTTTCTACAGCTAAAGAACTTTGGTTACATGAAAAACATGTGACTTCCTGTAACATAAACAAACATCTAACCCCAGATATACTGAGTGTTTTCAACTTGTAATACCCAACAATTTGCAGGCCTGCAGGAGAGGACCCTGGAGCGGAAAGGCTGCCCACAGGCCAGGTTAGCGGCCCGACCGGGGGTCCTGGTAAAAAGGGCGGGGATTGGGGAGGGCGGGGTATAAACCGAATAAAATAAATAATAAATAAATAAAGCCTCTGAGAGTGTACAGGGTGCCGTCCCCACTCCACTGGCGCAATGCAAGTCGACGTTTCCCGGGGGCTCCCCTGGATCTTTCCAAGCCGTGCTGCGAGTGTAGGTGAAAATGTTCTCTTCTGACCTTTGCCGCGACAAAAACGGAGTGCGTCCCTGAATGGATCCCTAGAGAATCGTCGAGTCCTGGATCTGCTTCGGTCGAGGGGGAGGCGCTCAGCAGGCATTAAGCACCCACAGATAGACACAGAGACACACGCCCCTCGCTGGCCTTCCCTGCCAGGGTGGCGGTTGAGGTTCTGCGCGTTGGCGGCCCCTGCTCGGGCTGGAGAAGAAAGGGGCAGGCAGGCAGGCGGAGGAAGGGGACCTCTGGAGGCCTTCACGAAGACCGAGGGAACGAGCCGGTTGCGATTCGCCCTTGAAGCCCTGCAGCTGCTTCCCGCTGAGTCGGGCCATTCATGCTCTGTACATGCTCCGGGGATTTCCGAGGGCAACGGGATGCCGGGAGCGAGGCCGCCCCTGGGGAGAAGGAGAAGGGTGCCCTCCTCGGCCTCGTCTCCTGGCCACGCCCAGCACTGCTCGAGTCCCTCCAGGGCCCGAGCGCGCTTTCCCCCTCTTCCTCCCCGGCCGGGCTTGTGGATTCGCCCGGTGGTGGCTCCCTGGGGGGGCGGGGGGGCTGTGGATTGGCACCGCGGGGCGGAGGGGGCGTGGTCGGGGCGGTGGGCGTGGCCCGCCCCCTTCTGCCCGGAGGGCTCATTGGCCGGCCGGAGGGCAGGGCGGGGAGCGGCTCCGCCCCCCCGTCGGGCTCCACCCGCTTGAAACCGGCGGCCAGGCAGGAGGCGGCCAAGGAGAGACCCTCGAGGAGTGCCCTGCGCCTCGGCGGAGAGCGGCGGCGGGGCCAGGCGGACGGAGCGGGCGGCCAGCCAGCCAGCCAGCCAGCCAACCAGCCATGCAATACCAGCCGGCGGGGCCGCCGGCCGCCGGGCCTCCCCTGTACGCGCCCACCCCGCTGCTGCAGCCGGTGCACCCCACGCCCTTCTACATCGAGGACATCCTGGGCCGAGGGGCCCCCGGGCCGCCCCCCCCGCCCAGCCTGCCCTCGCCCAACTCCTCCTTCACCAGCCTGGTGGCCTCCTACCGGAGCCCCGTCTACGAGCCCACCCCCCTCCACCCGGCCTTCTCCCACCACCACCTCGCCGCCGCCGCCGCAGCCTACGGGGCCGCGTCCTATGGCGCGTCCGCCGGCAGCCCGCTCTACTCTTTTCCCCGCGCCGTCGGCGACTACCCGCACGCCCTCCTGCGCCACGACCACCTGGGTAAGCAGCCAGCCGCGCCGCAGCGGTGGAGGGGGGAGGAGGAGACGCACCCCGGGGCCAGAAGGGG